GGAACGTTGGAAGCACTGTCTGACGCGTCTGCCTCTGCGACCCGAAAGGAGAAGCGGCGATGGAAGATGAGGATGTAGTAATGTTTTCTGTGGTCGACTGATCATACAGTAGTGATTCACGGTTAAAGTATTTCATGCGTTTAAGGCAATCTGTTCATTTTCTTGTGTGATGGGCACCATTAGCAAAGGTCTAACTCATGGATTGAAATATAACATAACATATCTGATTCTTGATAGATTGAAAGTTGTCCTTTGTACTTACTTTTAAGAGCGCCTCAAGAAATTATTTGATGCGGTTTTCCCTCTACACAAAAGATAACGTTACTGAAGGCTAGTTATTAGGAATAAATGGACTGAATTTTTTTAGTGAACGTTGGTATCGCTACCTGTTTGCAAATCGGTTCAGGTGGCTATGGCGAACAAAATAAAGCGAGATGTATCTCGGTTCAAACACCATGGAGCCGTGGCTTGCTTAAATGTTCACATTGTGCAACTATGAACAAAAGACGGAGCAATAAATCGCGAAATTCGATCATGAAGGAGTTATACGTTATCTGACACATTCTGACAGATGAATTTATTTTAATGTTTACGTTTACGTATTTCTTGTATAATATTCGTAAATATTACTCGTTCATATTATGCAAATGTAACTGTCACTCGTTTGCTGCTGCGGTAGCATTTGAAGCGGTCACCATTTATATAAGATATTGTTGTTCTTTCTATCTGATCATAAAATGGTTAATGTATATTTATTGTATGTTTTAAATATATATGACCCAGCCGCTTATGTCTGCAAGTCGAACAAACCATTGCAAATTCCCAAACAATGAATTGACTGTTCGTTTCTAAAATTCACCGGTCTGCTGAATTGTGATGTGTAGCTAGCGTGTGCGATGCAGGAAACTCATATAATTTTCTGTTATTCAAAAAAAGGATTGTAGGGTACCTCGATTATCCTAGAGTATCGTAGAATAGGTAGCGTCTTGTAAATGCTCATAATGTAATCGTTGTTGATTCTGACCGTTGGATTGATTGCTTGTTTGAATACAGGGTTGGAAGCGATGGTTGCGAAAACGGCTGGAGAGTACACGTTCGCCGATATGGTCACCATTGCCGACGCTTGTTTAGTGCCGCAGGTTTACAACGGTTACAGGTAAGCGTAAAATTTGCCATTAGTACTAAGTGTTGCATGGGCGTTTCTCAGGTTTGGTGTGGACATGAAAAAATTCCCACGCATCTTACAGATTTATGATGCTTTAATGCAGCTGGACGCCTTTAAAAATACACACTCGAGCCTTCAGCCGGACTTTCCCGAAAAAGAAGTGGTGCACTGAAGCATGGCTGGCGATGAAAATCTGTTGCAGTTGAACTAATTTTCACCTTTTCTTTTGTATTGTGATGATGACTTTGCTTTGTAGTTTGGAAATATGTGGTCATAGGCTGAATCTGCAATGCGTACTTTATCGTCCATATGATTAATATAAGTAAATTTTGAGAGAATAAGCTTTTGCATATTTCGCGTTTATCCGATGACGATGTCGTTGAGATACTTAACGTTAATAACTCGTGATTTCATTTTCGATACGATGCATAGTTCGATTCACGTGTTGTAGGTTACACCTTGTAAACTGTACATATCGTAGTTTAGCAGCATAGATTAGACACAAACATGTCGAACAGCGCAAATGGTAATATTGTTTTGTTGTGTTTAAGTATATTCTCTTAATGATTTATAGAAAATAGCATTGATGAACACTG